TAAAATATATTTTTCTAACCGTTAGAAAGTGAAGAATTTTATAAAAAAATTAATAAACATAATGATTATTTAAAGACGTAAATGATTTTATAAACACGTAATAAAGATAATGGTGATTTAATGTTAAAAAGTGATAGTTTTAGACATATCAATAAAATTAATTTTATTTAATATAAAAATAAGTATGCACGCCTGGCAAGACATGTGATGTGGTGTGCATAGCTAGCGTTAAAAGCTTATACAAAATTAATGGCCATTGATTGAAGTGGTGTTAATAAAAGTTGTTTTTATTAAGAAAAGAAATCTCAAACTTTTATTTCCTTAGTTCATTGAAAAATATATAATGAAATAATTATTGTATGAAATTAGTTTTGTATTAAATGAAATATGTATATGTCTATCATAAAATTTATATAATCGTAATTGTTTTATTTTGAAGTATTAAAATGAGATAAATGGTGAATAATTTTAAAACTTATATACAATGTTCCTTTTTAGTTAATGAAGTTTATATATTATCATGTTATAATAATTTTACATTTAAAAAAACATGTTATACGAATTAAATAGATATTTTTTTAAATTTTCAAAAGTGAAGTGTCTATAAATAAAAATAACTAATAACAATAATGGTTATTCAGTGTTAGGAAGTGAAGGGTTTATAAAGTTTTAATAAAAACTAAGGTTATTTAATGCTAGAAAGTGAAGGGGTTAAATAAAAATATAATAAAAATGAATATGCACTTGTGGCATCACATGCGGCATGCTGTGCATACATGATGTGAAAAGCTCTATACAAAATAAATGGTCATTGAATAAAACAATAATGAAATAATTTTCAATTAAAAGAATTAAAACAACAAATTTCAAAGGAATCAGTTAAGTAATTACAAATAATTAGAAAACGGTTGGGTTCAGTGGCCACTGGGTTTTGGTAAACCCTCCTGCCCAGTCTCGACCCCAACTCATCCTCTCACCTACGTCAATTTGCACCCCGCATGTAACGCCCCAAAACATACCCTAGAATTATTAATAAATAATTCTTTGATTAATCAAATTTGTTTTGATTAAAATAAATTGTTGTTGGGCTTTGAGCCGAAATAAAATATGTATTGATATCCGATAAACATAATTGGGATAAATCTAATAGAGATAAATCCAACCTGATTGACTTTTTATGTGACCTTGATTGGGAACCAGAGTATAGACCCAAATCAAGGATAAATGAAGAAATTGTTGTGATATGAACTTTGAAATGAATTCTTGAAATAAACCATGAGAATAAGATAAATGTGAGAACCTTTTATGATAAAATTCAATTAAACCAATTTTGACTCTGTTAAAGTCAAACACTCAAAAATATGATGTCGGAAAAAGTATTACAAATAAATATAAAAACTATATCGTTGGATAGAGTTTAATTGTCTGATCACAACGGTGCAAACGGAATTCAATTCGGAGAAAGTTGGACAAAACAAATGTACCCCGAATGGGACCAAAATTAGTCCCAATCAGTGAATGGCGTGTGAAATCCCACAAATCCGCCGTCATGCGCACTAAATCGATCACCAACGAAGAAATGGAATCCTGAGTCACACCCATGTCTTCTTCTTCACTTCTTCTCCTATAAAAGGAACCCAATCTCATCCATTTCTTCATCAAATTCCTTCAAATAAACTCTGAGAAGAAGCTGTGAGTGTAGAGAACAAAGTGGTGCTGCCAATTTGGGGTGAAGTCGCCGGAGCTAGCCACAAACCTCGCCAGAAGTTTCGCTGAAAAATTCTCAAAACCTTCAATAAGCTTCGAGGTAAGCCCGTAGATATATCTAGTGACTAGAATGTTCGTATAGATCGTTTCTACGTTCATAAACGGTCGTTTGGTTGAGTTTTGTGTTTGACATGCTTGAAGAACCAAGAATCATAAACCATGTAATTGATGTTAAAACTATGAATTAATGATGCCAAAATGATCTATGAACCTTGGAGAACATCTCTATATAGTTTCGTTGAAGTTCAATACCTAAAAACGATATTTCCGAAATTGGACCCGAACAAAGAAGAAGATGAACAGTGGCTGAAACACCACTGTCTGGATCGATCCAGGGGCTTGGATCAATCCCTTGGGAGTGATTTTTCATAGTTTGGATCGATCCAGAGGGCTGGATCGATCCCCCGAAGTTCTGATCCGAAAATTTGCCCGAAATTGCTATTTTTGAGCTCTAAAATTCTCTTTTTGATACCAATTGATTATAATTATTTTAAGGATGATTCTTTACAATAAAAATGATGTTTTTAACAAATAAAAATGTTATGTGATGCATGACGGTAAGTTCGGGTGTTAACACTCAAAACTAGACCGCTATTTGTTACCAATTGATATGTTGATTAATGATTATGATAAATGATTATTATGGATGATTATGAATGATGAACTTACTGATTAAAATTATTATTTATGATTGAACCATGAGTAAAATGAATATATTGATAATTATTAAACGATTTGTATTGTTAACGATATCTAGAAGAACTCTAAGATATACCCATTAGTTAATTGATGTTAAGGCTATCTAGAAGACCTCTAGAATAGATCTTGTATTAGAATAGACTTATAAAAACATGAATATTTGATGAATTAAATAAAAATGTATAAACGGGATTCGTAGACCAAACTCGAGGATTACTCGTTTGGGAATGTCCGATCCAATGTTGATCAATCGCTATATTGTTGTTGCCTTAACCGACTACGGTTAAGTGTCCGAATCGTTTGCCTTAAACTAGTGATAGTTTAAGTGTCTGATTGCCTTATCTGACTACAGTTAAGTGTCTGAAATCAATTGCCTTAAACTAATGATAGTTTAAGTGTCTGATCAATAATTGCCTTAAAAGAATCTGGGAAATTATGATTTGGCCTTAGACTAAGAATAGCTAAGAGCATTATTATGATCTGGCCTTAGACTAAGAATAGCTAAGAGCGTTGTTATGATCTGGCCTTAGATTAAAAATAATTTAAGAGCACTATTGAAATAGTATCTGAATTAAATAAAATGTGTTGATATGAACTAAACAATACCAAAACTGTGAATGTGTGAAATGAACATTGTGTGCATATCAAATGATTTGATTATGAATTTAGATTCAATTTATATGGATGTTCGACGCATTAGATATGCTTACTCAGCTTTACCGCTGAGCGTGTAGTATGTTTTATTTGCTACACGCAGGTAAACAGAAAGCATAATGTGATCCTGGCGGCAGATGGGGCGAGATTGTCGGGATGGATGTGACAAGTTTGAAATGATTTATGATATGTCAAAATTAAATTCACTTCCGCAATATTGTTGAATACTCCGTACTGTATGTGTTATGAAAAATATTATTGTGATAAATAAAAGTGTTTGAAAAGTTTTAAATTTTTACGATTACCAAGTTAAACACTTTAGTCCGAAAGGGGCTGCAGACCTGGACGGATTAGGGTGTTACACCGCAAGTATAGTTGACTTTAATGTCTAAATTTTTAACTTCAAAGTAACTAAAATTGCGGGGTGCAATTAACGTAGGTGTGGGAAGAGTTGGGGTCGGAACTAGGGAGGGGGGTTTACCGGGAGGGTTAGGAGGAGTATGAATCATCAATATAATAATTACTAAACATCTACCCTAACTTGAGTGGTAGCAAGCCCACTCTCCAGGATTCATGGGGAAATGCACGTTGGTTCGAGACTCGGGAGAAGCATTGGCTCTTTGTGCGTCATTAGGTTGAGAATAGTATGAACGGATACTAGCTTGTAATAGAGTCAATATCATTCAAAAGGAAAATAATTACTATAATAATATTATCAATGAAAATTTTTTTCTCATATTATTATTACATATGAATAAATACTACTTACTTCATCCATTTTAGATTCTAGAGTGTTCGTCTAGTTTTAACTTTTTGTAGTCAATTAAAATCAACCTTTGACCAATTATTAAATTTTTTATGCTAAATAATTAGATAAAATAAGAGTTTAAAAATAATTTTAAAGATAAATCTAAAAGTATTATTTTTGTATCAATATCAAATATCAATCCTCTTTAATTTATGATCAAAATTTGTCATTTTTTATTGTAATAAATTAAAAATAGGCAAAACACTCTAAGATGTAGGTAGTAGTATTATTGTTGTTGTAATACTAATAATAACAACCTTTATAATAACATCACTCCTTCCATCATATAAAACACTATTTGTTTTGTCTTCATGGGGATTAAAAAATGTGAAATTTGCACTTAATAGTACTAGAACATATGTCATTTCTCAAAATAGTACTGAAATGTGTTTTATTTTCTAAGTAGTATTTGAATAATGTCTAGTAGTGGAAATAATGTCCAGTGATGGTGGATATTTAGTTTGAACAATGTCCAATGGTGGGCACATGACATTTAGTTGAGCAATGACCAATTGACAATGACCATTCCAGTGGTACTACTGTTGCGTTGAGGAACCCGGGGGCCTAGGTGACAAGGCGAAAGAGTATCGAACCGAATAGAGAGTGCACAAGTTTGGGGTCAAGTAAAATATGAGTGTTATTGTGCTTGTTAGAACGTAAGCCAGAGCGTGTTGTGTGTGTGTGGAATGAGCTCCCTCCCCTCCCTCCCTCTTCCAAGAAGAGGGGTATATATAATGGGAGAGTTAGGGCTAGGTTTTACATATAAAGACCAACGGGCCGGCCCAACAGGCTGGGCCGCCCTAAATAAGCAATTAATAAGCGACTAAGGGGTTGATCCAACAAACTGGACCGCCTCGACTAATATTATACAAAGACCGGATACCCCCTGTCCGAGGTATCCATCATGAGTCCCCCACTTCCCAAGCCGAGAGGAACTCGAGGTGAAGTGGAAGTAGAAAAATAATCCACCACAGAAAGACACCGTCTTCCTTGCTGTACGGAATGTACAATCACCATAAGAGTGGATGAATCAATCGTCATCTATAGTCAGTTTGTCGTCTTCGAACATCCTCCCACAATCCCGTCAATGTGTGACCCACCCCATGGGGGATGCCTCATTAAAAACTTGTCGAGGAAAAAAACCCATGAGGATGGGAAAAAATCCTCGGTCAAGAAAAAAGTACATCTCGTCCTACAGAGTGGATAAAAAAAACATTGCTAGGGTGTGAGGTCTTCTATGTGAATCTCAGAAGAGGTGATCTTCAAGTCCTTCAAACTTGTTGGCCGGAGTCGAGGGTTGTTTGACATAATGTATTGCTAACGAGTGTAGGTGCACGCGTACTGTTTCAATTTGATACAAAGTCAGGATGTCGATCACGAAGCTCTCCTGTAATAATTACGAGCCGAGCACCTAGAGTCCCCCACTCCCTAAGCCGAGGATGAATTCCGAGGTGAAGGGGAGTAGTGTCCATGCTCGGCGCCGACGAGAGTCTGTGGCTCCCTCACGAGCTTGAATGGCTGAGGCCGAGCTTGAGTTGCTAAGGCCGAGCTCGAGTGGCTGAGGCCGAGCTTGAGTGGCTGGGCCAAGCTTGAGTTGTTGGGGCCGAGCTTGAGTGGCTGGGCCGAGCTTGAGTGGTTGGGGCCGAGCTTGAGTTGCTAAGGTCGAGCTCGAGTGGTTGAGGCTGAGCTTGAGTGGCTGGGCCGAGCTTGAGTGGTTGGGGCCGAGCTTGAGTGGCTAAGGCCGAGCTTGGCCTTCTCATCCTTCTAACCTGCAAAATGAGTTCAAAAAGAACACAAGGCGCTCGCGGGCTCGGATGAACTGATCACCACGCGGCCGAGAAAAGTAAGTCAACGCATGAGTTGAGTCCAAGGTTTTGGACAATAGATGGGCCTAATCAGCAAAGTGCGCCGATCGTGTGGTAGTCTGGTCTAGAACATACCTTGATGTCATCCTTAGTGAGACCGGGGTCTTCAAATGAGAGCTGCTCGGGTAAGTGAGATAGGCACAAGGATGCACCCCTCGCCTTAGATCCGAGAGCAAATAGTTCACGTCGTGGAAGACGGATATATATAGGAGTGCGTCGAGATGGACGGCTTACCTAGGCCTCGCAAATAGTATCGTCGCAGATGATTTGTAGTGCCTCGCGGGGAGGGCTTACCTCAGCCTTGTAGAAGAGGAAACAAAATCGCGTCGTGGGAGACGGATGGGAGTGCGTCGCGGTGGACAGCTTACCTCGGCCTCGTGGAAGAGGAAATGAGATCGCGTCGTGGAAGACGGATGGGAGTGCGTCACAGTGGATGGCTTACCTCGGCCTCGCGATAATATCGTCGCGGACGATCTTCAACACCTCGTAGGGAGGTTTTACCCGGCCTCGCTAAGGAATGACTAAATGAGTTGGATCTAAGCCATGCCCTGAGGCAAGTCGCTGGCCTGTGTGGAGCGTGAGATTAAGCTTCGCACCCGTCCCACATCAGGGCTTAAAGTGTTGAACACAAAGTATAATACCATCGTCCAGGTGAGGTCCAATCACATGTGGTGGACAAGGTAATGGTAATAATTATAGAGTGAATAATATCAATAGTGACATTGATAATATGGTAAAAATAATAAATATGGAATAGTTGAAATGATGGTGTCAGGGGTAAAGAGACTTATCTTTTTTTTTGTTACACCGTCCATAATTGAGATCTACTATGTAGATGTAAAGGTTGATACTTGCTTCACGGGTTAGAGTGCCCAATTTCGTATGGGGTCCAGCCAACACGCCACACAATCAATGGACCTTATCATAAAAGAGATTGATACAGTAAGAAAGTATAGGCTCCTCTTTTTCTATAGAGCTGGCAGATTTGACAGAAGCAATAGTCTTGCCCATCAAAAAGTTACGCGCATCGAGGGGGCCTGCGCGCTTGTCGGATTGACAACTTAAAGGCCTGCACACCAAGAAGCACTGCCGGAGGGATGGAGGTGGGTCGCTGCCGGCCTGGACTGGTGTCATAGTCGGGCTACTGGATTCGGACTTGCTCGTCGTGGGCTGCACCCGTCTGGGCTACACTGGTCTGCTGTTGCGGCCGTTGGTCGCTGATCTGCCGTCGGGAGTTACCACTACTGCGCTCGCCGGAGGGAAGGGGTCGCCGGAATGAGAATGGAGTCGCCGGGAACCTGAACGAAGCAGGGAGCGGTTTGCAGGAATGGTTGCTATAAAAAAACCCAAAACCGCTGACTCGTCGCCGGTGGAAAGAGCTCCGTCCGGGTCGGGTCGTAATCTGACCCAATCTCCTCGTGGCGTGAACTTGGATCCTCCAGGTGTTGATTTCTTCCTCCAAGTTCATCGTCCCGACATGGCCGGCGGTGATCTGGATCTGCTGTCTGCTACGCCCAGCGGTATCTGGTTAGTGCATCCCAAACGCCGCTGGTCCGGACTCCGTCGTCGCTGCGGGTCGCTGCCGGAATCGTAGATTGGAGCGCCGCTTGGGGGTCTCCGAAGAGGACGCGAATGGCATGCAGGTTTGTTGAAGCGTTTGGCTGGTACCCTGGGTCTGAGAACGATGGAGAGCGACGTTGTACCAGTGGCCAAAGAATGAAGTCGGCCAGATTTAGTTTCTGCCGCTATTTTGACTAATTTCTTTTTTTTACGAACTGGAAGAACAATTTGGTAAAAGAAAAAAAATCGAGAGCACGCTTGATGCGTTCGACACTCTCAACGAGAGCACCAATGTTGGGTTAAGGAACCCGGGGGCCTAGGTGACTAGGCGGAAGAGTATCGAACCGAGTCGAGAGTGCACAAATTTGGGGTCAAGTAAAATATGAGTGTTATTGTGCTTGTTAGAACGTAAGCCAGAACGTGTGGTGTGTGTGTGGAATGAGCTCCCTCCCCTCCCTCCCTCTTCCAAGAAGAAGGGTATATATAATGGGTAGGGATGTAAACAAATCAAATATTTTAAATTCGATTCGCGATTTGTATTCGAATATAATGATTCGAATTCGCATTATTCAAATACAAATTCAAATTCAAATATTATTTTTGATTCGAATATTAATCAAATACAAATACAAATAGGGATATATTCGATTCGGATGATATTCGAATATTCGAATATATGTATATATACACAGACCATGTTTTCAACATCAAAAGTCAAGCAAAGTAATTTAGTATAAAGTGTATTTAAAATACTAAGAATTCAATAAATTAACGTAACACGAAAATCTAAATCATATGATTTTTAATAGTTATATTTTATAAAATATAATTTGTGTAAGATGCAGATGTATTAATGTTTTTATATACGGAATATAGTATAGTATAAAGAGTATCGTAAGTTAAATTACAAATTGATGTTGGTCCATCATATAAATTACATAGTATGATTATTCAAATATTCGTTTATGATTCGATAACTATTTGAATACTAATCAAATACTTATTCAAATCTTATTTTGAATTCGTCTCATATTCGGATTCAGATTCGTATTCGAAAAAATTAAACAAATACAAATTCAAATATATCGGTATTCGCTTCGATTCGGTTCGTTTACACCCCTAATAATGAGAGAGTTAGGGCTAAGGTTTACATATAAAGACCAACGAGCCGGCCCAACAGGCTGAGCTGCCCTAAATAAGTAATTAATAAGCGACTAACGGGCTGGTCCAACAAACTGGACTGCCCCGACTAATATTATACAAAGACCGGATACCCCCTGTCCGGGGTATCATTATGTTTTAGTACCATTTAAATAAATTCTCCATAAAAAATTATAGATAAACGTAAATATTTGTCATATACTATCTTTGTTTCTGAGTATTTGTTCAATTTTAATCTTTTCCGTCAATCAAGATAGATATTTGACCTATGTTAAATAAAAATTACATGGGATACTAATTTCATTAAAAAAATATTTTGAAAATGCTTATAAGATAAATCTTATTTAAATATTTTTGTATCAATATCTAATAATCTGTATAAACTTTATTTAATTAAGGGAGAAACAGCATAATAGGGGTAAAAAACATTAAAATGACCAAAATAGGAGCACTATTGAAAGTTGAAACTCCTATCACCAGCGTGTTATTTTGATCGTGTATTGCTAATCAATCTTCTAATTCTTGACCGCGAAATCTGGAGGAACCCTAGCTGCAATTTTGCCGAATGAATCTTCCTATTATGTTGACTAGGCAGAGAACACGTCCAATGAGTGTAATTCTCGAGAAGAATTCCGCAATGGAGGATGATGATATTCTGGATGAATGGCCGCTTATCAAGAGTGCAAGAAGTTCTAGGTAATCATAATTTTTATTTTTTGGAATTATTTGTGTTATTTTCGATTGCATTTGAATTAGCAAAGCTCCGTTTGATACATAGAATTCTAACTATGGAATTAGAATTGAGGACAGCAATTCCAATTGGTAGTACAAAAAAATGTATTTTTAGAATCGGAGTGCCAAAAATGAATTAGAATTAGAGAATTCAAGTCCATCCAACTCAATTCCATAGAATTTCAATTTTCAATTCAATTCCAATTTTGGTTAATTCCGTGTACCAAATGGACTATGATAGTATTTTTTTGTTTTGGTTAATATTTGATTGATTTTCGACTATAGTTCCTCATATTTGCACTAACTAAAGCTAACACAATGCCAGTTTTTAGGTATTTCTTAGTCATTGATAAAACTGACGACGATAATTGCATCCATTTGTTTTTAGTTAGTAGCACAATATGATGGAGTTTTATTGATTTTTTTTTAGGCCATTGGATTTTTTTTGTTGACAGTGAATGTCTATAATTATAAAATTGACAGAATTGGATGTTCTTTTTTGGCAGTGCATGTATATATGTGCCTCATTATCTGTTTAGATGGCAAACTGGAATAACATTTAAATGAGTAAAAATGTTAGTATGTGTGAAATATTCTCAGAGTGAGTATCTTAATTTGGAAGTAAATTTTGTTTGGATTTGTTTGCGATGTCATTATAAAATCCATTGGGAGTGGGGGTGGGGGGATGGCTTTCATTTATGCATACGATGATTGTGAACATATAAATTTATTTATGCAGCCAGAGTTCGTTTTATTTGACAGTAAATGTTGTTCAATTTTTTTTCCAACCTAGAAGTATGTATAGAATCTTTTTTTTTTGTTTTGTTGGAAGTGTGTGGTTCTTTGTTAATAATTAAGGAGATATTTGATTTTTGGAAGTGCTAGGACGATTGTGATTGGTCCCCATATATTCTCTTTAATTTCAACTTGGGTCAACATTTCGATGAGTATTCTTTGGGCTCAATATAGAATTTTTTTTATAAATTTTAATAGGAGTATGTTAAATATGTTACGGTATTTTTTGTATGGTTTGTAACTTTTAGAGTGTTGATAGAATTATGCTTGTTTTGGAGACATTCACTTTCGTGTTTTTGCAATGGCCTCGGTGTCTAGGTAGTGTGTTGAAGTAAAATCAGTTAACTGGCAGTGTGTTTGAGGAGTTTTATTGGAACACACTGCATAAATTGGCAGCAAGAGGACACTGCATAGATGGGCATGTATGTTATCTTTATTGTAGATAAATAAACTATAATATTGGTTGTGTGTTTTCAAAAGAGTAAATTACACAAATAGGACCAAAAGAGGGCCCTTTTCCGAAAATAGGAGCAGTCCTGTTTCTGTCCACGTGGCACGGAGTTAAAAGACTGCTATGCCCTCCAATTTAGTCTTTAATGGAAAAAAACAAAAGGAAAATATGCGCTGTTTTACGGAGAAGCGCGAAAGTGAAGCCGCAGTACTTGGCGTAGGTGATACGTTGCTGCATGAGTTTCCATGTGTGTCTCTACTTCTCCTGCATGCCGATTTGTGTGGGTATCGTAGAATAGATCTAGGATTCCATCAATAAGAATCACGGCATTATCAATTTCAAATTGAATTGAAGAGAAGACATGACGACGAGGAGCAGTACAGCGAAGAAAATGGCGAACAGAGTCCCGGTAGATGACGATGATGATTTGGTTGATAAGATTCCAATAGTAAAGACCATGAATTTAGTGAAAACCACCTCAGGGCGAGTAAGTTTTTTACTTGTGGTTCATATTGTTTTGATTCGGTTATAATGCCTGAAATGAGGTGGAAGTATACAGCCGTGCATATGTCTTGTTTGTGAAAATGTCTGTGGTGTTGAAATGAGTTGTAGTGGTTTTAATTAGTTATGTACTTAAGCATCCTGTGAGTTTTAGTGATGAAATTAGGTAATGACTGGAGTTTAAAGACTTCGTGGTGGTGGATTTAAAGACATTTTGTGGAAAGTATTTCAAAGTGGTGGCCATACTAGTGGATCAAAATTTACTGATTAGTCCTGGCTTTAAAGACTTCTTTTTCAATGTAGTTTGAAGAGTTATGGATGTGTAATTGTAATGATTTTGACCTGATGTAAAAAATATTTACCCTAATTATCTGCTGAATGTAGTGTTTGCCCTAATTGTTTGGAAGTGGATAGTATTCGAAGGAATTTGGTAGTGAGTAAGGTTTTAAGGTTTTTAAGAAGTGGTTTTAATGACTTTGTAGTGTTTGTAGTGACCAAAGATGGCCCTAATGTTATGTTTAAAGACTTGTCACTGGTTTGGATTAGAATTCATGACTTTTTATTAGTTGAAGTTTAAAGACTTCTTACTGGTTTAGAAAATCTTATTTTTTAAGTCTTTGATTTTTGAATGAAGGACTTTGATTTTACTGGTTTTTACTAGTTTAGAAAATCTTATTTTTTTAAATCTTAATGACTTTGATTTTTTGAATGAATAGGACTTTTAAGCAAATTAAGGGTTTGGTTTTTAAATTGCTTAATGTGATTACTGGTATACGATTTTTTGTTGGATAATTTGCAACAGGTGTACAAAAGGTTGTGTGATGAAGAGACTTTGGTTGGGAAAACATGGCTTAAGGTCACATGCTTTTGTAATGTGTGGGTGGGTGCAAAAAGTATTGAAGAAGTGGTCAGTGCTTCAGATATGGCTGAATTGAAGGATTCTGCATTTGGTTTTTTCTTCAAACTTGGGGAAATAAAGTGGGTTAATGGTCAATTGTTGATTTTATTAGCTTTAAATCATGTGGAACCCATTGAGAGGAGTGGAGAGGTAGATAGACTAAAGTTTCACATCGGAGATAGAATAGTGGAGTTTAAGAAGACAGATTTCACTTTGATTACTGGGATGAAGTTTGGAAAGGATGCTGAGTATGGGGATACTGACTGGAAAAGGCAAACGACATCAGCACAAGGTATTTCAATGGGAAAATGAGCGTGAGCCGTATAGAAGTTGAGAATGTGTTCAATGGTATCAGGAATAGCAGAGGTAGAGGATGGTTCGATGCTATTAAATTGGCTTTACTGAACTTCGTTGTGAACCATGTGGTGGGTAACCAAGGTTTGGCAAAGATCCTAGCATTGTACATGCATCTTGTTGACGACCTGGAATGATTCAATGAATTCCAGTAGGGAGAGCATCTGTGGAATGACATGGTGGAAAGCTTACGCAAATGTTCGTCAATTCTCAACACGGGAGAACATTGTCGTTTTACGTTTCCGGGCTTCTTATTTCCACTACAGATTTGGGAGTTTTAGACCTTCCATTATTTGAGTGAAAATGGAATATGCGTTGTGGGAGAGAACAGGAGCAGTTTGTGGCCTAGGGCATTACGTTGGGAGACGGGGATGCGCCCGAGGCATGACCTGCTGGAGGGTTCAATTTTCGGCACAGAAGAGGTAAAACGAATGCATTTCTAATCCGATACGTGAATGCTTTACTTTAATTTGAAAGTATCTGACATTATTTTATTCACTGCAGGAAAGTGTTGAATAGAAAGAGATCGTTGCAACGACATCGGAGAAAGTGATAGAAAACATTGGAATCTTATTCACTGCGGGAGATGCAAGGAAAGCTAAGAGTAACGATGGCGGAGGAGAGCACATTGATAAAGGGTATGGGGCTGGTCGTAGAAAACTGAAAGGACAGCTACATTGGGGAAGTGTGGGCTCAACGAATCAGGAGGAGATAAATGTACAGCAAAAGGAGAAAAGAAAGGTTGTGATCCGGAAGAGGGCAGAGGGGAAGAAGACGGAGAAGAAGACAGACGGGTCACGTGGCGGTAGTTCAAGAGGTACACCAAAGGAAGGGCAAAATGTTTTGGGAGAAGCTCGGGAGAATGAACCTTCGTTGCGAGATATAATGACAGCAATAGTGCTAATGGAAAAGAAAAACATCAAGATGCGCACTGAAGTGACAAAGCTGCGGATAGCATTAAATGCCCAAAGCCGTCTCCTGAATAGGTATATATCAATGAACAGAATGGGTAAGCGTTGGCATAAGAGTAAAAAACGCACAACAGAAGATAACGCCATGCCAAGCTTTGATTTGGGGTTTGAGAGTGAGGAGAAGAAAGAAGCCACAGAACCTGATGTCGACGATGGCGTTTTAGACGAGGGTATCAATGCGGATGTTGAGATAGGGACTCAACAGGTTGCGTTTGGTAATGATCTTCACGATCCATTGAATGAGATAAGTACGCAAGAAGTAGAAGGCATATGGTTGAAGGCTGTAGATACATTGGGCCTGGGGAAACATTCTGAGAAGAATGTAGACAAGGAGGAGTGCGAAAAGGGATCAACGAACATGGTAAGAGACGACATGTAGTCGGGTGTTGTGGGCACATACATGGGTGTTGAGGATGTTCTGCGTACTGGTATGGACGAAACCAAAGCAGCATCACGAGTAAATGGAGATACCTCCGCCAGTGTTATGACTGGTCAGGGAAATGTAAGTAATTTACATTAATTCAAATTTAGGTATGCAATTAATGCAGAACTTTAAATTGATACGTATTTGATGTAATGACTTTTGTAGAAAATTGAAGAAGATGTTGCAGGGTTCACCGACAAGTTCGAGACAGCATCACAACTTATAGAGGTTTATGTTGTAAAATTCTTTAATGACATATGAGTAATTTTAATTATCTATGCTTTTTAACTTTGAGTTACATATGAAGGCATTGCAGGATTTACCACCGGAAGCAATTTTTTTCCCAGTCAAGGAGAACCCGATTGAGAATGAAAAGAATTCAACACCCATGTATGTGCCCACAACACCCAACTACATGTAGTCTCTTACCATGTTCGTCGACCCCTTTTCGCACTCCTCCTTGTCTACATTCTGCTTCGAATGTTTCCCCAGGCCCAATGTATCTACAGCCTTCAACCATATGCCTTCTACTTCTTGCGTACTTATCTCATTCAACGGATCGTGAAGATCATTACCAAACGCAACCTGTTGGGTCCCTATTTCAGCATCCACATTGATACCCTCGTCCGAAATGCCATCGTCGACATCAGGTTCTGTGGCTTCTTTCTTCTCCTCACTCTCAAACCCCAAATCAAAGCTTGGCATGGCGTTATCTTCTGTTGTGCATTTTGTACTCTTATGCCAACGCTTACCCATTCTGTTCATTGATATATACCTATTCAGGAGACGGCTCTAGGCATTTAATGCTATCCGCAGCTTCATCACTTCAGTGCGGATCTTGATGTTTCTCTTTTCCTTCAGCACTATTGCTGTCATTATATCTCGCAACGAAGGTTCATTCTCCCGAGCTTCTCCCAAAACATTTTGCCCTTCCTTTGGTGTACCTCTTGAACTACCGTCGCGTGACCCGTCTGTCTTCTTCTCTGTCTTCTTCCCCTTTGCCCTATTCCGAATCACAACCTTTTTTTTCTCCTTTTGCTATACATTTATCTCCTCCTGATTCGTCGAGCCTACACTTCCGCAATGTAGCTGTCCTTTCAATTTTCTACGACCAGCCCCATACCCTTTATCACATGGGTGTTGAGGATGTTCAACGGATGAGGTGAGATTGCTTGTTCTGTTAATGACCCTGGAATTGACTGTTGTGGTAATGACCTGGTAAGTGGGAGTGAATCTCTTTACCTAGTAATAATGACCTAAGAAATAACCTAGTATAATGAGGTAAAGTGTAGGTTTTGGACAGCTTGTATAAGAATAATGACCAGACGTATGAGATTGGGAAAAAAACATGGCTAATGACCAAAAATTAAGGAAATGAAGTACGAGCAGTTGACTTAATGAATCGAGTATAAAGTTTTAGGTTAATGACCAAATATGTATGTGTATGGATGCGGCTGCTGTAAGAATGACCAATACAAATAGAGAGGGAAAGCATGCTTAATGACTTCAAAGGAAAAGAATGTAAGATCCTTTCGTACAAATAATGACTTCCACACTTTTAATGACCTATAATACATGTGTGCAGCAGTAAACGTATTTAGCTTAAGAAAAAAGGTCAATAAGGAATATACTAAAAATATTCAAGGTAAATAGAATGTGTTATTGACCGTATTCTGTAATTTAGGGACATGTAAATATGCGTTATTTATCCTGAGCGATAAATGTTAGGGACAGGTGTTGAGGTCGGGAAATAGCTTTGATCTGCTAAGGGCCGTGTATGAAGTGGTTCAGGATTCTGAGGATGATGATGAGGTGGCGAATGAAGAGCCATGTACACAGATTGTGGTATGTTATTAGTGTATTAATCTTGTATGTCACTGATAACCGTTAACCACTGGCTAAATGAGGAATTATATTGCATATTAATTCATAGTGTTTACATTTTGAATGACTCACATGGGTATGAAGCACGACCAGAAAGTGAGGCACCACCGGATTTGAAGGCAAAGCAAAAGAGGACCTTAAAGTGTCCAGATAGGTTCACTCTAGATGATTTAGTAGTTCGACGTAAAATAAAAAGGGTGAGAACAGAGGGTGCGCATGTAACGCATTTTGGGGGGATGAAGATGAATTCATGGGTCCATTCCCACTAGACCCGAAAGCGATGCCTGCTGAGGAGGAGTTAATGAAGGTTGAGAAATTCCTATATCGAGGACTTTTAAAGAATCACCTTAGGGCATCGGGGCGCAAGTACTGGGCCAGGAGGATGTGCTTGACCCAAGTGAATATAAGGTTCACTATGGCGAAGAAGACACGTTAACAAAGACCTGGTACTACGACATATTTTTCCCCTGGGGATGGCTTTCAGATAAGGTAAACATTAATTGAATTCATGCTTTCTGGTCGTATCATATGTTGTCGAAGTATGACACTAATACACGTGTTTTGGTTTAAAATGCAGCACGTAGATGTCATATTCTACTACCTTAGAATGAAAGGAGTAGAGTTTGGGTTGGAGCAACGGTAAACAACGACAGACACCCCATTTCTTGCATTGCTGAAGACATTATGTGGGAGGTATATGAATAAGGAACTAACCATTGAGCAAGCAACGCATAATAAGTCAATAAGAAGCACGATCATGGGAGGGAAGATGGAATACGGTCGACCGTGGCAGAGTGCAGATTTTGTATACATGCCGCTGGATACTAGGAGCCATTGGACATTGTTGGTGATGGACATTAAGAAGAAGTTAATTAGAACATATGACTCGAGCATCAGGAGAAACGATTGAAAAGGAAGTTGCAGCCGTTTCTGCCATGCCTCCAAATGTTCCTACCTAAGATAATGGATAAGTTGGGCGTGTATGACGGACGAGAGGAAGGTCCAATGGGAGATGATGCCCTAGCGGTTGAAGCTGGATCGTGCTGCCCCAAGCAAAACGACGGGTATGATACAATTTGATCTGTATAATGTTTTATGCAATGCATGGTTAATAATTTTAGGTTTTTTTTGCTTGACGTAGGTCAAGTTGTGGGATGTTCGTGGTGAAGATGGCTGAGTTACTGATGATGGGGTGCGATGTGGGGGATATGGATGATCATGAAATTGTCGCATACAGAAAGAAAATGACAGCGGAGTTGTTGGCATACTCTGCTGTCTAGCCTTAAGGACTATTTTTACTTGAGAATAATGCCCTAGTCGAAGACCTGTTTTATGGATAATATGCATCTATTATCCAGAATTTTGCTTTTGAAACTAGACATTCCAATCATGTGGTCGTATTTTGATATATTTGTTGAAGGTATTTCACAAGTTATGGACATGCATGGTTTGAAAATATTGAGATTCGGTTTTTTAATTGAAGTACTTAGCGTATTTGGATGAAAGTATGGTTGTGGTGTTTACGTTCTACGCACATTAGGAATGCATACAAAAGTTGTGTAGATTTATTTTAGTATTGTTATTTTCATTACTTTTCATAATATTTTCTAAATAGATAGGGAAACAACTAAAGGATAGGGACTGGGTTTTCCCGCATTTATAAAGACATGGCGATGGTGTTGATAAATGGTTTTTCTGGACATTAATGACCTAATGTAGAACGTAAATTTTTTAATCCTTTAATATGAATTAATAATGAATATCGTGATGCATAATGTCCAGTGTTGGGTGACTTGTACTTGAGTAACGACTAATGGAAAAGTGAGGAATAACCGTACATTGGATAATTTAAAAAATGGTCATAAATTGAGAAAGTCATTATGCTTAAGTGTTATGTAAGCAAATATCTCTAACGTAAATGGTGAAATGACAAACAAGCGGCATATAAATGACCAAAATGATTTATAATGTATGTGTTAAATGAATTCTTAATGTGTAATACTATAAAATGGGATATTGTTCTAGAAAAAACAATGAAAGAAACGGTAAACCCAGACTAAACATAGCCACAAATTAACCACAAAAATTTCTTGATAATGTCTTGATATGGAGTCAAGCACGACTTAAAGAAATGGGATTACTGCACGTCTTTCTATTGTGGCTCGATGATTTGCACCGTGAGCAAGATTGGCGCTTAGCATGCTCACCTTTGGACGGGATCCTTCGCTTCTTGGGCCTTCCAGGAGGACGTTTATCGCATGATGTTGGGAGGCAAACAACCTCTGCGACCTCATCGGGAACAATCCAAGATTCTTTAGATGGGATGGGGTGTATGATTCCGAAATATGTAGCTCTCCATGCAGTAGTGGTGTAAAAGGAGGAGACGTAATCATAGCAAGACAAACTGCTTCGACAACGCGTAGCAGCGATCGCATGAACACACACAAAATGGTCCAGCTGGAATTCGCAGCAAGTGCACGTCATGTTTTGAAAGTTCACCACAAACGAATGACCATTCTTGTCAATGACAATGAACTCGAATGCACAAGATGTCCTAACCTGAAAAAAACAAAGAACACTGTATGCACATAGATAATGAGTGAGTTAGAGTTTTAGGAGATGTGGTAAGAATAAGGAACAATGCATGTGTACGTGCGTGCGGGTGTACTACTGGGAAATTGATATCATAAGGATGTGAATGAGTGTATGCCTAAAAAATAATAATGCTGTATAATGACTTTCTCAGTATAGAATCACATGTTTTTATTTCCCAATGTAGGATCATTGATCATTATTTATTAGTCATTATTGAACTAAATGTGCAGCATCACTTGGACATTATTTGTAACACCCTAATCCGTCCAGGTCTGCAGCCCCTTTCTGACGAAAGTATTAACTTGGTAATCGTAAAATTTAAAACATTTCAAAATACTTTTATTCATCATAAATATTATTTAATACATAATTGTAGCAAAATACGGAGTCTTTAACAATAGTGCAGAAGCAATTTTAACCATGTTTAATAACAACACAATTATTTATTTTAAAAAAACAAATTCCACCACGACAGTCTCGCCCTTCCGCTGCCAGGAACATGCCAATCATTCATTCTGTCTACCTGCGTGTAGCAAATAAAACATACTACACGCTCAACGATGAAGCTGAGTAAGCATATCTAAAGCGTCGAACATCCACATAAATTGAATCTCAATTCAGAAACAACCATTTGATATCATGCACACAATATATAATTCATTCATGATATTCTCAATATTTTTATTTCAATATCTCAACATTCAACATTCATATTCAATATTCAACATTCAACAATATCCTTAAACTATGCTTAGTCTAATGCCAATTCCATTCTTAAACTAATTCTAGTTCAAGATATTCTAATCCTTAAGCTAGGCCTAGTTTAAGATATATTTTAAAAAGAGTTTTCAAATCTTAAACTTACCTTCGCTTAAGGTCAACCAAAAACCGACAGCGTAGTGTTCACTGTTGGGTTGGGTGGTACCCCCAAACGAGTAGGTACTCAAGTTTGGTTCTTGGATCCCGTACGTACGTTTTAACCCTAGCCACCGGGCATCATACCCGCAAGGCCTAACTTATATAGGTATATCTTAGAGTTCTTCTAGATACCTTTCAAAATCAACTTCACTATGGGTATATCTTAGAGTTGTTCTAGATATCCTTAAGAATTCATTCTCGTTATGATTATCAATATATCCATTTTTAATTATGATTAAGTCATCAATAATCATTCTAATCAGTAGGTTTATCATTCATATTCATTCATAACATTTATTCATCATAATGATCAATCAATATAATATTCGATAGCAAATAGCGGCCTAGTCTCGAGTGTTAACACCGGAACTTACCGTCATTCATCACATATTATTTTTATTTGTTAAAAACATCATTTTTTTTATGAAGAATCATTTTTATAATGATCATAATTAATTGGTATCAAAAATAGGATTTTAAAACTCAAAAATAGCATTTTTCAGACAAATTTTCGGGTCAAAATTTCGGGGGATCAATCCAGTAGTCTGGATCAATCCAGACAGTGAAAGAAAAACTCCAGGTGATCAATCCACTCAATGTGATCGATCCATCCTGCTGTTTTTCAGCTACTGTTCATCTTCTTCAACCTTCGGTCCATTTTTCGAAAATACCATTTTTAGTCACCGAACTTCAATTAAACTATATAGAGATGTTCTCCAAGGTTTATAGACCATTTTAGAATTATTAAAACATGTTTTTAACATCAAATTCAAGGTTTATGATTCTTGGTTCTTCAAACATGTCAAACACAAAACTCAACCAAATGACCATTTATGAACGTAGAAACGACCTATATGAACATTCTAGTCATTAGATATATCTACGGGCTTACCTCGAAGCTTAACGGAGGTTTTGAAGATTTTTCAGCGAAACTTCCGGCGAGGATTGTGGCTATCTCCGGCGACGGGAAGCTCTCTTGACAGCACTACTTCACGCTCTACACTCTCAGCTATCTCTTGGAAGAAGAATGGTGGAAAATGGTGATGTTTAGAGAGGTTTATATAGTGGAGTGGAGAGGAAGAAGGAACAGGTTTGGTGACATCCGTGTCCCTGTTCTAGCGTCTTGGTGGAGGGAGCGGAGATTGCTAGGATTTCCAAACGCAAGTCCCTGATTGAGACTAATTTGGTCCCAGTCGGGGAACATTTTTTTGGTCCAACATTCCCCGAATTGAAATCCGATTGAACCGTTGGAATCAGACAGTTAAACTCTACATAACGATATAATTTTTATTATTTATTGAACAACTTTATAATTCACATATTTTTGGGTCCTTCTCAGTAATTAGTTAATTATCAATTAATTAATTCTAATAGGCCTATTTTCGGGGCGTTACATTATTCTTCTCACTAGTCATTATTAAGTCCTATTTAGGGAATAAAAAAGTTTAAGTCCTACATTGGGAAATGACTTATGTTTTAGTACTATTCAGTGCAAATTTCACATGATGTATTTCGGAATAAATAATGACCAGCGGTGAAAGACCATGTACGCATAGATAATGACTATTAGCTAAACTACTAACTTTTGATAATGACCTGAAGTTATGTATAGCATATACGTAATGACCAATAAAATCTGTATAGGAATGAAGTTGTGGTAATAATGTCTAAGAGTATACGACGGCAAATGCAGACTTAATGTCTTTGAATCTAAATCATGTTAAAGCATTTATAATAATAATGACCTTTGAATTAGGATGGCTATAGTCACCTAATTAAGACATGGTGAATATGTAGAAAAAATATTACGTTCCAAGGTATATAGGGTGGCACAACCACATGGATAAAAATAAAACTTACTTCCATAACAGCTGAAGGGAAATGTAGTTCATTAAGCTCCGACTCGTAGAACTTTGTTAAAGTAGATGATGTTGAGTTTGCCAATTCCCTACGCTCGTGGAACCACCTTTGGGTCCTCCCTATTAGAAAATCAACAAGTTGTATAATTGGGTATTCACGTGGGACAGCATCAATATTATTCACGGACTCTGCAAGGTTAGAGGTCATTATAGAATAACGTTGATTCGAGCATGATCTGGCCCACTTCTCTTTCCTGATTGCTTTGAGGTAACCAATAATCCTAGGGTCATCACTATCCAAATACTTCAAATATCGGTCGCACTCTGCTTCTGAAGCTGCCCTTGCAGCACCATAAAACTTCCAAGATAACGACTTTTCGGAGCCATGAAAATTAGTCTTGATGTTTCCAAATATGTGAAATATGCAATGGACATGCCTCGCTTTAGGGAAAATAGATTTAACTGCCTTGATAATTCCATCATGCCTGCCTGAGACAATATATTCCACGGGACGATGCTTGAGAGCTTGCTTAACTCTTGACAGAAACCAGCGCCAATTTGCATCGTTCTCGGCATCACATACACCAAACGCTAGTGGGAATATTTGGTTATTCCCATCCCGTGTAACTACAGTTAAAAGTGTACCTTTGTAATATGATTTCATAAATGACCCATCAATAATTAGCACTGGAACACAGTGGGGCCACCCTTCTCTCCAGGGTGCATGAGATATGAATAAGTACTTGAACAAGTGGTCAGGCGTAGTAGTGAGTTCAATCAAAGAACCGGGATTAGCCTGTTTGAGCATAAAACACATGGATGGCAAAGCAGCATATGATTCTTGTACTGTCCCAAAACAAATCTCCAGGGCCTTCTCTTTAGCAAACCACGCCTTCTTATAAGTCATTGCAATTACATGCTCCCTTCGCATGTCGCTGAGAATGGAATGGGGGGAGGTACAGCTTCGTCGTTGCATCACAAAATTTGTGTTTAACAAGCTCTACAATAATGTGATACATAGCTTGACGTGTTTTGCCTTGTCGAGCATCAATAGGGCATTGATGTTCACGGTTGTACTTAGGAAAAAAAACATGTGTACGATACAATTAACATCCAAAACATGTGTGGTTAAGAACAGGTATTAGTATGTAAAAGAGGTGAGGTTTGATACCTAAAAGAACATAATGTCTTGATTAGGACGTAATCAAATTAAGGAATTAACAGAAAGCATGCTTTTAAGTCATTAACAGGGATTTGAAACGGACCTACGGCGTCATTTTTAGTCAGTAAAAATTTAAAGTTCGATAGATAACAGGGCATAATGTCCTCATTAACAAGGATTGGAAACGGACGTACGACATCATTCTTGGTCAGTAAAAAGCTAAAGTTTGTTAGATAATAATAGAGGATAATGTCCTAATTAGTGAGTAAAGAGCTGAGGTTTGATACATAATAGAACATAATGACCTGATTAGGAGATAATCAGATTAAGGAATTAACAGATAACATTGTTTTCAGTCATTAACAGAAATTGGAAATGGACATACGACGTCATTCATAGTTAGTAAAAGCTAAAGTTTGTTAGATAACAGAGCATAATGTCCTGATAGAAATGTAACCTGGTGAGGGCATTACGAGGGAGGGTCTTAAAAAGTAGGGATTGTTTAAGGACTGGAAATGTAGAAAAAGGTCATTAATAACTGGAAATCATTACGCATCACAGGAACATTATTGAAAAACAACGCGAAGTCAATAAAAAGGACTGGAAACGCACCTACGGATCTGGAACATCTCAACGCCTGGTAAACGCACTGCTCGAACAGCCCATGTGCAACGAGGAAAATCCACACAGACAACATGAAGACAAGATTTTTTGGAGGTTCGAATCCGGTACTAGAACTGATTAGAGATTGCTAACATCTTCAAATGGATATCAAGGTCCTTGTTGCTGGCATAAATGGCATCAACAACAATTCTAGTTGGATCAAACCGAGATGTATTGTGCATCTCCTTCATTGTGGCAATTTCCTGCTGAGACATTACATAAGAAGACGGGTTGGATTGAAGATAGTTATTGCAATCAAGCTCGCTGCTTTGGACATTATTCTCAGGTATTTCATCTCCGCGAAATGCGTCAAATACAAAGCCAAGAGAAAATCACATTTGTGATGGTATATTGTCTTCATCCAAAATGCACAAGGTTCGGTTTACTTCAAAATCAGAGAGAGAGCTGTCTGATTCTGTATCTTCGCAGACGCTTGAATTGGAGACGGAATGGCGACAAAGGAGAGGCTGCTGTAACTCTGAAAGGAATAAACCTAATCCACAAACGATAGTGTCTGAAAAATTACTTAATTCAACGCACAAAGGGAATTCACGTAGACCACAGTGAATGCTCTATAACCGAATGTATGCATAAAGGCTCGTATCATCGTCAATCACAACATGACTTGAACGTGAATCAGAGATATGTGAAATCTTAAAAACATAATTTTCATAGGATGATGGAACCGTATTACGAATCACCTGGAGCAAGTCAGTGAATGATGCCTGATGCGGAATCTGGATCTCATATGCGTATGTGTAGGAGAAGACGCCATGAACGTCCCATTTACCGTCGAATTGCAGTAGGGAATGGATGGCAGACGGTGTGGAGAAAACTGGATCAATGCTAGATACAGAAGCCAACAATGAAAAAAACATCGTGTTGCGCTACTTGGATGCGCAGAAGAATTTGGTGGCGGCCGGAAGTAATGTACGAGACCGAAACCTAAATCCGTGGGGAGGTACAGAACTGGAGCGCAAATGATGGGATAATGGCTAGAAAGTGGATGAAATTATTAATAATTATCCTGTAAATATGCCAAGGAAATTAAAAAAAGAAAAGAAAAAATCCCAGCATTTCGGCCTAGAAGGGTAAAAATGGATGCACGCCCAAAAATAACTCCTATATAAGGGAAAAAAAGATACAAGTCCTATTTAGGGAAAACACACATGTTTGAGTCCTAAATGGAACAAATTTTACTTTTCAAAATTGGTTGTATGTTATATTCTTGGGTATATGTTAAGTTGTGAATGAATTTTTTTTAGCAAACACTAGCTAGTAATTGATGATACGAAATAAATGAAAACCAACAATTACATGACCATTTAGGGGGATATAGTTCACCATGTTACATTAAAAAGGAAAATTGCAATACTATATTTAATTATTTTGAAAGATGACACAAATGTGAAAATACAGTCTTTTAGAGATGCTTACAATGCATTAGTGAACCAAATAAATCCTTTTTTGCGTCTTTATCAATACGAAACAAGTGTAAATATGATCAAATGGGTATAGGATTTGTGTATGTTTTGGTGTTATGCCCCATGGTTAGACGTCGTGTGCATCTCTATTTTCTTCGTACACTACCTACATAAAATTCACCTACTGATGGGTACTTCCCTTTCTTATGTCTTCTGAGAGGGCGTTTGCTACAAGTTGGGAGAGAGCATCTCACAGGATTTCACATTGGTCAAGACAAATTAAAAAAATTTGTCTCCAATTTGGTGCACAATTCCACTATATATAGCAACTAGCACATCAAATTTATAATATGAAAATATGAAATAGTAACAGGACCACCCAGCAACAATCTCAAACTAAAATATGCATGTGTGTTTAACCTGCAACATGGAAGTAATTACATTTAATATGACATATTAGTGAGGCTAAAGTCCACTTCAAAACATGCATACAATCAAAACAAGCGTAGAATCAAAACATATTAAAAACACTAACAAATATACCTTCATCCGAAATGCATCGCGTTAGAGTGAAACTAACTTACCTTAAAGCTTTTTCGGAAGTATGATTGCTGCGGAAGTATGGTAGTAGCAGACTGTTGAATTGGAAGATGGGAGTAGGCAGTGTGGCTGAGTTGGACGTATGCATTGTGCCATACTTCCACTATATTGAGACGTATTCTAGCGTAGTGTTGAAATCTCGTTTCAAATTGTTGCATTGAGCGTTAGAAGTGTGCAATGTGACACACTTCCGCTAAAGATTAAAGAAATAATACATGATAACATAGAGCATTTTAAAAATCACAGATTTAATTTCAAACACCACCAAATACAAATCAACGAAAACCACTTTCTATGTGAAATAAAAGGTAAAATAGTTTATACACCGACAGGTACAATTTGTGATAAATTATGTTTGTAGAAGATGTTGGAGTTGTGCCCTGATGGCCAACTATTTATCGTTATTATATCATGTATAGGAAGATATAATATGTTTACACATCTCATGCTTAGGGGTGGACACGGTTCCGGTTCCGGGACGGTTCCGGTTCCGGAACCGCCGGTTCCGGAACCGCCACCCCGAGTAACCGGAAATGATACCGTGTCGGCCGGTACCGGTTCTGGTTCCCGGACCGGCGGTTCCGGTACCGGACCGGCCGGTTTCGCCCCCCCCCCTATTTTTTTTTTAAATTTTTAAATTATAAAATTGTAAATTTGCAATTGTTTAAGGAAAGAATGAAATAAAAAATCTAAAAATGTAGTTGTTATTTAAATATTGAAAATGAGTAATACACTAACTGAAGAACAACCACATTTAATATCCTGACGGTTCAAAAAAAGCGACGAGGTAAAGAACCGTAAAGAAACCCTCGAAGGAGCTTATATATCGCTCACCTAAAAAAATTAATTACATATTTACATTAACATAAAAAAAATTTATAACTTATTCTTCAAAACTCGGACTTCCATCTGTGGTTGCATTCATGTAATGCTCCGATTCGAGTTGGTACGGTGACTCTTGAGCCCGACGTCTTGCCAAGAGCCAATCTTGGTTGCAAACCAGTGTTTCAAGAGATTCAGCGTTAAGACAACTTCGGTAGTCGGTTAGAATGTTGCCGCCAGCACTGAATTCTCATTCAACTGCTACGGTTGATACTGGGACGGAGAACACTTGTCTTGCTAGCATGCCGAGACATGGGAACATGTGTTCGTTCCGCTTCCACCATCCGAGCACGTCAAAATCGACATCGTCGTCATCGTAATCGCATGGCACACCCTGGTACATAGCAAGTTCGTTGTGCGAGTTTACTGTTGTACCACTTGAACTCGTCGAAGACTGGGCACGTTTCCCTTTCTTTGCAAGAAGCCCACTGACTATGCCGGCAAAACCTTTTTTTGATTTCGGGGGCGGAGGTGGTGCTGTTTCTTCTTGTACAGTACCGTATAACCCTTGATATTCCATAAACAAATCCTCAAAAAGAGTTATAGCATTATCTCTTTCATTTTTCCATTCTACTAAATAGCTGTAGTAATAACTATTTTTATCTAAAAAACAACTGTAGTAATACTCAATTAGAATTTTAAAATTTTCAATCTTAAATCGTGGATCACAAATAATACCTATTTTATAAATATCAGGAATGTACAAAACTTATTTCTTTTTTACCCTTAGACTTACAGAACATCTTCCAGGATCTCGAAATAAGACGAGCCCCCCAAATTTTTTTAATTCCTTCTATAATATTTGTCAAAACTCCGCCCATAGCTTGTAGTCCCTGTTGAACACATAAATTTAAAACATGACAGGCACACCGTTGATGCAAAAATCTACCCATTGTCGTAGACGGTGGGCAAATTTCTCTAAGTCTAGGAATAGCAGCAGTATTATTAGTAGCATTATCAAAACCAAATGAAAAAACTTTTTCAGATAAGTTATATTCCCGCAGAATACTCTGAAGCAATAGGAAAATATTTTCAGCAGTATGCTGATCATTGAAATCACGAAATGCAAGAACACGTTTATGCATAATCCAATCACTATCTATCCAATGACAAGTAACACCCATATAAGACAAATTATGATAAGTTTCACCCCAAATATCAGAACAAATAGCAACACGAGAA